AACTCAAACACATAGGGTGTGGAGAAAAAACACTAAAGTAAATGCAGGAAATTTTGATTCTACTCTCACCTCTGCCATTGAATGTTTTACCTTGAGTAAATCATTTAATTTCCTTGAACCTAAAAGAGAACAGAGCCTAAACTAGATGTTCAATCTTCTTAAAAGTTTCCTCCGAAATATTCCATCTGTAAACCATACAAGCCTTATAAAGTATATCAAAAATGCAGAAAATTTTTAAATAAAATTTGTTCAATACCTGCTGTACTTCGAGTTGAACTTTCATTTACGTTTCTCTTCATTTCCTTTACAATATCTTTCTTGAGCACTCAAATTTACAGCATGAAGTTGTTTCACTAAACCTTCAAAAAAAAAAAACTTCAATGAAACTCATACAAACAATAAGGGACTACAGCACTGGCAAACTTACAGGCCAATATATAATATACAATATAATTAACTATGTATTATATGTTGTTGTTGTTGTTATGTGTCATCCAGTCGAACCCCACTCATAGCGACCCCTCCATGGGTTGCCAGGGCGGTATCACTAGGAAGTAGATTGCCCAACCTTCCTTCCGAGGAGTAGCTGGTGGGTTTGAACCGCCAGCCTTCTGGTTAGCAGTCAAGTGCCTTAGCCACTATGCTACCAGAGCTCCCGTGCATTATATATATTATTATATATTATTTATTATATATAACTATTGTTAAATGAATAATTAATTAAATAAATAAAATGTGGAAAGCATGAGTCAGGGACCGCCTCTGCTTTGTTTCCGTATCTTGGGCTTTATATTGGATATAGATATAAAATATTTATACTTCAGAAAATATTCTTGGTGTCATTCTAGTGACCAAAACAGAGGTTATTCCACTTTTTCTCAAATAGTTCTACCAATGTAATTCACATAGGGGAGGGTAATTACGAGGGCTATTAAGTTTCTGCGTATCACGTAAACAAAAGAAAAAACAAGCGTAATTTTGTCCTTCATGGGAAAAACGCTCCAGAAGGCTTGTGGAGGTCAGACCAGTCAAATCTACTGTTCTCATCCAACGACCTCTTGTCCCAAGGCTCAACAGCAGTTTAAGAACGAGGGTCAAAGTATCATCTTTTTTTCTTGGTCCTCCTCCCAACACAACACGTAACTTTTACCTTCAGATTCCCTCGCCTCTGTCAACCGTCAACCGTCAACCATCAACGGTCCAGAAGACTGCCCAATCAGCTGTCCCTTACAATTTTGCCTTCCGAGCGCGGAAAATCAGGCTGCTGCGCAGGCGCACTTTGAACACGCACAGGTCCGCCTCAAGCCGCCCTGCCAGGGGCAGGGGCAGGGGCAGGCGCAAGCGCAGGCGCAGACGGACCACAGCATTGCAGCAGCACGTGGGCACGGTGGCGTAGAGGCTTAAGTGGGCCTGTCCCGAATTCCCTTGAGGGAAGTCAAACAGGAGAAAAAGAGGCGTGACCCTCACCCAGAAGCCATAACAGTAACGCACCTCTCCATGTGTTCTCACTCCGTGAGGTACAGTGCGTAATGGCTCTACCAAAGAGGAAAAAGGGAAGGAACTGTTTCCTGTTGCCAGTGCGGCAGTGGCGTATCTCCTGCCCAGGTCGGCCTCTGCCCCAAATTTGTCAGAAAACAGTGCCCATGGTTACCCGTACAGCCCCCTCCCATACCCCATGGCAATTTCTGGACATGAGTTTTTAAGTTGGTGGTGGCAACGCAGAGTGTGCCTACAAGAAAATGGCTCAGAGGTCAAAGGCATCACAACCACCAAGTATTTTGCTCTAGCTGAGTTTCTGAGTCAAACCAGCTCTAGCTGAGTTTCTGAGTCAGATCAGTCCGACAGGAAATTACCAGGAAAGAGCCCCCCAGAAGGCCAGTGGCAGAGCTGAGCCCTAGGCATAGATGACAGCCGTGCAAGACAGAGCAGTCAGTGAGGGCGGCCACTGCTCCCAGAGTTCATGCGAGGGAATGACCACGTGTGCGTCAGGGAGGTGGA